AAAGAAAGAAAGAAAGAAAGAAAGAAAGAAAGAAAGAAAGAAAGAAAGAAAGAAAGAATGATTGGCCTATGACACCTGGGTCTTGCCCCCAGCCATTGAGCCTGGCCACCTGTCCTGGATGACTGCGCTCTGCAATCCGGGCTGGAAATGACTGTAGAGCCGTGTGGGCTGTGAAGGGAGCTTGGATTTTACTGCAATGAGAACACTGGGGACCAACAGCGGAGAACACTACCTTTGATTCATAGGGAGCTGTGTGACCTTGGGGAAGGGCCCTTCAGCCAGGGACAGTCACTGGGTCTTTGCAGCTCCGTTTCCTCATCTACAAATGGGGCTAAGAATCCTGGGATCTCAGAGAGCTGTGGGAATGGGCCGAGGTAGATTCTGTGCATGCTGGCACAGTGCCCTGCCCGCAAGTGTGATGGAAGTGTGAGCACTGCCGTTTGTACCCTGACGGACTCCTGGAGGAAGCCCTGGGCAGGTGAGGATGAGTCAGGAGGCTGTTGCTGCTGCTGCTGGTGCTGCAGTATCCAGGCATGAGCATGGGGAACACAGATGCCCCAAGCCAGCACCATGGTTTCTCGTGGCCTGAGGAGGCAGTTGGTCTCCTGGGTGGGGTCGGGGACAGCAGGGAAGGCTTGCCAGAGGGGGCTGGGTCCTGAGGTACCTGGCAATTACAAAGGGGCAGAGAGGTAGGCTGGGAACAGCACTGTGGGCTGCGAACCACACGTGCTTAGGTCCCAGGAGGAGAGCACAGGGTGTTTAGAGAGGAGCAGGTCCTTCAGTGGGGGCAGGGGCGGGGCTGGTTGGGGGAGAGGAAGAAGCGGAAAGGAGGGACCCCGAGTCTGCAGGAGGGCTGAGGACTTTCTGCATCGAGTGTGAATGGCAAGGCCTCTCTGCCCAGGTGGAGATCATATGTGAAGCAAACTGCTACAGAGTGACCGGGGACGGCCAACACCTGCTGGCATACACCCACCGCCTGAAGGACCTGACAGCCGTCAATGCCCTGGAAGTAACTGGTGACATCAAGCTTACTGATGTGCAGGTCTAGGCGGGCTCAAGAGCCCAGTGAAGGGCCATGGACATGGCGATCTCTGTTCCCTCCCTGTCTTCTTCCCTTCTCAGCCCAGCTTCTGAGCCCTGTCATCTGAGCAGATGTGCCCTGAGGTGGGACACACAGGTGTCCTCCAGGTCCCTCCCTCCTTTGAAGCGAGGGAGGACCTGAGCCTTCCGTGCTCCAGCCCAGGGCCATTATGCATAAGGCTGTCAAACCCCTTCCTTTCCCCTGTGCAGCCCCACGCTAGTCCCAAGGCACAGCTGTGCACCTCAGGGACTGGGGCCCTCCACAGCCCCCGTTCCTGTGACCTTTACCTTCCCTCCCTGGCTTTGCACCCTGCCTCGACACTGCTCCATCTGGGGAGGCTGCCCTGTGACACCTGCTGGCTTCCACCCACTGAGCAGACCTTTCTCAGCAGTGGGCTCTTCCCTGTCCTAGCCTCCTTAAAATAAAAAAAAAAATGCTGTTGCTCTTGGCACACACCCATGGGATGGCAGCTTTAGTGTTGTGTCTAGAGACATTTTGGAGTCTCTGGCTTTGGGGGCCCCTGCCAATCGAAGGGGGATGAGTTAGCACAGGTTCCTGTAGGGAAGGAGGGTCCTGACATCCACACTGACTCCCAGGGGACCTCACAGAGCCCACAGGAGTGCTGCAGAAAGCACCTGGGGTGCACACCTTGCAGGCACGAGCCTCTAATGTAGGAATGTTGGTAGCTGGGTGAACCTAGGAAACATCTCCACGCTACTGAGAGAAGAAAAGGCTGGGACACAGTCGGTGGGAGTCACGAGAGCCAAGAAGCTGGATGAGCTGTGCCTGAGCAGCAGGGGAGCCAGTGGGGAACCTGACATGAGGAGTGGGGGTGGGAGAGCTAAGTACCTCAGTGCCAGGACCTGCCCGACACTGGGCAGCATAACCGAGCCCAGGCGAGTATCCATGTGATACCAGCGCACCTGCTAATTCCTGAAGAATTTCGTCCCTTGGGAGCCAGCTTAGGACTCAGGGTGTGGTCCTGGGGCAGCAACAACACAGGGACCTGGTGAGGAATGCACAGGCTCAGGCCCCGCACAGGATCTAAATGTAAATCTGTGCTTTAGCTAGATCCTAGGAGGGAGGGAGAGAGAGAGAGCGAGAAGGGAGGGAGGGGGAGAGAGAGAGAGGGAGAGAGAGAGAGAGAGGGAGAACGTGCCTGTGCATGCAGGCGAGAGCCCTGGTCGAGGCAGCTGGAGTCTTGCCCACACTGTTCAGACTCCTCTCTCCTGGTCTGGAGTCAAAGCTTTCCCTAGTTGCCGAGCCCCTTCTGTGCCTCGTTTGAGTAGATGGTGCCAGAAGCAGAAGGACAGGCAGGAGAGGTGCGGCCGGGGAAGGAGCCCGGGAGGTGGGGAACAATCCGAGCCAGGCCTAGTCTGGTCCAGACAGCCGCTTGCCCCCTCCTGAGGCCCTTCCTTGGTTCTGAGCAGGAGACACAGCTCCGTCTCATACTCAGCCTCCTAGCTGGCTGCTCACCCGAAAGAGCGCCTGTCTCTCCCGCAGGCAGGGATGCCAGGTACCCTTCACCCACCTCACCCTCCTCCTATAGGAGGCCACATCAACCTGTCTCAGGTGCCGAATCTCCATTGTCCAAACCTAATGAAAAAGACGGCAACAGAGCAAAACCTGTATGACAGGGCGGTGGGGAAGGCCTTCATTAAAGAGCTGGCCTGGAGTGCAGGACCCTCCCTCACCACACCCTGTGTAATATGAGCCCTGTGTGAGGTAGGGCCCCTGTGCTGTGCCTGTCCCCTCACCGTCCCCACCACCCACTTTGGACAAGCACAGTACTCCACCCGCGGCCAGTTCAGAGCAGAATGCATGGCCTGGCTGATCTTGTGTGGTAGTTTGTCCGGGTGGTGCCAGACCCCCACCCAATCTATGAGTTGGAGCAGCCCTTGCTTCAAAAAGGACACACATGTACACACTGTGGTCAACATAAAACAAATTTTATGTAAATATTTCCATCAAGGTATTACACAGGGAAGGCTCAAGTGGCCCTGTCCCTAAAAACAGAGAGGAGTGTTTTCAGTACAGAAGCACAGCTGCTGTGTCCAGGGCAGCTAAGCACAGAATATACGGATGGTGCCTCCCGGGCCCTCAAAGTGTGTGTTCAGCGGTGGCTTCTGTCTTCCCGTCGCCCACTCGCCTTCGTGGCTTAGGGGTTCCTCTGCAAGGGGCAGGGGATTGTAGTCTGAAGGGACACCCAGCCAGGGCAGGACGCCGCTTGTTAGGCAAGGGCTGGAGCGGGAGGGGTGGAGGAGGCTGGGTGTGGTCACTTTTCTCCCTCTCCTGTCTCGCTATCTCTCTGCCACACATGTGCTGGGAGTCCTTTCTATGTTTTCTTAACTGCTGGTGTTTTCCTTGCTAGTATATGCTGGCCGTACATAGTGATTACATGGAGTCTGGGCTTCGATGCGTATCTATATCACATCTTCATAACTTTTACTCTCTCTGGCACTCCCTCTCACGCCTTTCCCTCTCCCCAGATTTACTTCCCATCCATGCAGAATCTAACTCCACAGTTCTTAGTATGGCTCGCTAATTATCTCTGTGAAATATTTCTATTCTGAGTCTCTCATATGGCAGAACCACGTACTCTTTAACCTCTTGTGCCCTCTTAGTTCACTGGCGTCATTGATCTGAGGATCCCTCTACTTCCTTGCAGATGACTCAGTTTCATCCTGATGGATGCTGAGGGTTACTGCACTGTGCAAATACATCGCCTTTTCTTCCCCCATTCACCTTCCCTTTCCCTCCCCTCCTCGCTCTTCTCTGCTTTACAAATGATGGGCAATTAGCTGGGAAGTCTATGCTTGGAGAACACAGTCCCAACATCCCTAACAGTAGTCAGATGCCAGTCTCGTTGGCAAAATGTCCGCAGTTGTTGGTGATTTGAACCCTTTACAGCTAAATCTTACTATGACAGTGCTTATTTATGTATCTTGTTTTTGTTTTGTTTTGTTTTGTCTTTTTTTGAGACGGAGTTGCTATCCTGTTTAGGCTGGCCTTGAGCTCACTTTGTAGCCCACGCTGGCTTCAAACTCGCAGCGATCCTCCTGCCTCAGCCTCCTAAGTGCTGGGGTTGTAGGCATGCACCACCACGCCTGGCTATACATCTTGTGGTTATGCATTTCTGCTGGATGTTTAAGACCGAGTCAAAGTGAGACCCATATTAATCCTTTTTTCCTGTCCATCAAGGTCAGTAAGTCTCCTCAGGGTTGCTTTGGAACCACACACAGCACCTCTATATTCACTATCAGTGTCAGCCCTCTGGATGAGTAGCAGCCATTGCTTGACCAAGTTGCTTTCTGTGAAAGCTTGAGAGACTTTATCTCTCCAAGTGACTCTCCTTAGGCATGCTGTATATCCTTGAATCACTTTCCTCTGTGGTCCCATAATCTCCTTGATCAGAAAATCAGGGGCTCAATTGAGTTATAGGATGCCATAGCAGAGGCTATTTTCTGTCCTCGGTTGACTGACCTCAGAGCACTAGGGCCAAAATGTTGACTCTCCTCTTAGCCCATTTATCTTTCTAATTTTTTGGTCTCCAAATCTCAGTTATTAAACATCCAGAAGAGAAGCTCAATGATATTACACTATAATAGAGGCAGTAAGCTTGATATTACTATCTTAGTATCAAACACCTTAGAACATAAAATGGAGCTGTTATTTTCTTAACAGCTATGGATATCCTATCATTAAATCCCTATAGAATGTTAACAGATCATAGTTACATATTTGTACATTGAATTTACAAATCCATACATAACATCACCACATGACAATCATGACATTTTGTAACATACCTAAAATTTCATTTTGACCTAACATAACCCTTTCAACCAGCCATCTCTGTCTAATACATAAACTTTTATCTAATCTGTTATCCTTTAACGAGATATGCATAAGTTTTTAAAGGCAAAGGTCTGAATCTGAACAAAAAGCTTATCATAAGCAATCCTTGCTTTACATTTTGAAGACCTATACATCCAGAATCATGAATACATTTCAATACACTATGAAATTAACAATACTAAATTGCCATATACATCTGAAAACCTTTCTTTCTTACTTTAGATTTTTACTAAGAGCATCTTTCATGAG